CACTAAAATGTAGAAGTGGCAATCAAAAGTCCAGAAAGATCAAAGCTTCAAGGTGGGATGAAAACACTAAGACTTCACACAGCAAGCACTCAATAGATTAGACACTGTTGAAATTTTGAGGTTTGATTGTATCTCAGTATATTGGTGGTGTTAGATAATTTCTATTCATAATATACATGTTTTTCATTTATCTTAGGAAGCCCCGCTTTAGGAATGTACACACACATACACACACACACACACACACACACACACACACACACACAATTGATAGGGCTGCAGCATTCATCTTTCCTGAAAAATTCCTTATCATTACAAATTTGAAAGATTTAAAAAGTCTTTAATATTTAAAGCTATGTTTTGGTATATAACAATAAAATTCTTATTTACTTAAAAAAACAATCATAACAGATTTCCCATACAGAAGATAGGTGCTTCTAAATCCATGATTATATGAGCATAGAATTTTCTATTTACTGTCTTATATATGCATAAATGGAATGCTCAGCAATTAGTTAATAACACACATTTAAGTTTATTTAAGAGAGTCAATATAGGGAGCATCCTAATTATAATGTATTTTACATATGAAAATAACACAGAATAATTATTTTTCACACACTTATAACTACCGTATAGGTAATAGCACCCTAGTTATATGCTGCATAGCTGCTATAATGACCTGATGTTCAGACATTCTTTATAAATGAGCTTTTGCGTAAAGGTTGGTAAGGTGCTTCTCATTTAGACCATTGGAATAAAATACATCACATTGTTGTCTAGACATGCCTACTTAAATAAAAGATATTTGTGAAGCAACAAACAAAAAGCTTTCCTCAGCATGTACCATTTCTCCCTTCAGTCTGTAGGAAAGGAGACTTATTGAAAAAATTGGAAGTGTGGTTATAAGCCGGTCAGTTTTGGTGATTCGGAAGGAAGGTGCTTGGCACATCATTACATTTCATGTGTTGGTTTTTAGGAGATAGCTACAATCAGTCATCTCACATATGGTTTGAAAAAGGCTGGTCTCGCTAGCAAGCAAACTGTTATTTAAGTACACAATCCACTCTACTACTGAAACAGTTTTGCCAAACTTATCCAAGTATTCTCACATGCTTAAAGATGGTATAAATATCATTTATTGCTAGCAGTTTTCTTCAGACTATATGGAATGTCTTCCTGCTGCCTGATCTAAGTGTCCCAGTTTACATTATGGCCTTTACTGCCTCTGTTTGATGGAGTGATCAGTAAAAATTTAATGACACTATAAAATAATAAAAATGTCATTAATTTACCACGGATCTTGGATGCAGTGGTTGTAAAGTTACATTAATAAACAGAATATTTTTTACAACAAAAAGCATTGTTATGTGAGAATGTATAAATAACACACATAAATTTAAGAGCAATTTTACTGTTAGCACACACATTATTATGGAATAGCCAATAAGTGTATAAAACATAGTATATAAAATTTTATTAAAATATACTGTGCACATCAAAAATTCAGCTTTTATCTAAGTGCAAAGAAAAGCCATTATTGTGTGCTTACTGTTTCATTGGTGTTCTCCCCCCAGATCACAATTTCACATTTGTTGCCAGTAAGAAGTTGATTTTTTTTCCTAGATGAAAACTAACCTCTGGTCTTTTAGTTATGCCAAATCCATTCTCTCTCTCCACTGATGCAAAGATATAATTGATCAGTCTTGCCATGGGAGGTGGGGGGGGAGTTGCTAATTTAATGCAAAGTTAAAAATAATGCCTGAGGAGTTGAATGGTTTGTTCAGTGACTCTGGAAATAAGGGATAATAATGCAGCAGTCTATCTGTCATCAGTGAGTCTGCCCCGTCATTGACTCTGATAATATGTGAAGATGATGGATGCTACCATCTTGTGGCTTGTAACATTTAACATTCATCAGCTCTCACTAAAGGGGGCTTTATCATTTAAATATCTTTATTTAATATGCAACATCTATCTCATACATCATAATTTCAAAGCACTTAGAGAGCCAACAGTCCTACAACACAGCAGAGCTGACTTTAATTTTTTTCAATAACTTTTATGTTGCCTGCATGTTTGTGACTGACAATGCATAAATAAGTGTCTGATCACATTGCTGCATGTAAAATGCACATTTCACTGTCAACATGACCATTGGGGAATTTTTCAGGTGGGGAATAAGCACTGAGGTATTTTACTTATATTACCAAAATATCTTTCTTGAGAGCTATGTGCATTGTGAGGGCTAGTTCAAGAGTGTGTGTGTGTGTGTGTGTGTGTGTGTGCACGTGTGTAGAGAGGGTGGGATTTGGATTTAAGAACTTGCCACCCATGGTCTATATTTGTTCCGTATAGGAGCCTACCCATTGGTATTTAATGGCCAGAAGTTTAAGCTTCTTGGAACTGCAACATTCTTATATTTTTCTTTGTGCCCATGTTCACATCCTGTATTTACTCAGCTCATGTTCAACCTCACTGGTAAAATCTTTGCTTAGCTCAGCTGCCCAGACCTAACTTGTATACATCGGGCCTTCTTATCTTATGATTATGTGGCTAGCAAATAAATATTCTGAGCTATTCTTTGAAGAAAAGAAGGAAATCTTCTGGGAGACTAGGTGGAAATTTATATGAAAGGGCATGGCTTTGCAGGGTCCTTCTTTAATCTCAAACAGTGCTTAATATCATCAAATTGAAAATGCAACCCAATACCCCAAACAATTTTTATCACTGATTTATTTTCTGCCTACCTAACAAGTATTTCATGGGATATTATTCCTTTTCTTCTATACTGTCAAAATATTGATATTTTATAGGGAAAGTATCTTTGCAAAAGTATTTTTTTCAATGAAGTCAGAAAAATGTATGACTTCAAAGACACTGTGAATGTGTTGTTGAATGTTCTGAATGTTTTTTGTTATGATTAAAAACAAGCTGATACTACTGAATTGCAAGTGCACTTCATTTTTATAAAAGATATTATCATCATGTAAGCTTTGTTGTCTTAGGATTTTACAAACCATGGCATGTAATTTTCCCTCTTCTCCTTCCTTGTCAAAATATTGATATTCTTTCAGGAACTTTATTTTTTTTTTACTGAGAATATTTTCCGGTAAAATCAAAGAGAATGAATGACTAGAAAGATACTTGAAATATGCATATTGATAGGTAGCTCGGTCTGTTGATTGTCAGAGAAAGTTGTTTTCCCCCCATGAAAATACAGTTAAAGGTTGTTCTTCCAAGAAGATTGCAGGTGTCATATCAAAACTCCTTTTGCATTTAACAGGGAAAGCATTCACATGCAAATAATTGAAATGTGAAACAATGTGATGAAACAAAGGTTAAATATTTTGTTCCCCCTTGTACTACTCATCTTCACTTTAATTCTTTTTCCTTACATCATGACACCCAAAAGTGCTACTCAAAAATAGAAATTGGCTGATTAAAGGCAGCTGTCCTTCCCCTGATAATGTGTGAAGCTCCCACACAGCTTGTGGTTGCTTTTTGTTGTGTCCTGCAATCTGGGTTAATTTGTTCTTGGGTGGCAGTTTTTATATAAGAAGATATTAAAGAACCACCCTTGATTTGGTTTTCATTTCATTCCATCTTTTATAAGCGTCATATTTCAGAGGTTTCCCTACATACTATTATTGAAACTAGTTAGTATAATCCAGTTGGAGAAATTTATGATGATAATTTTTGTTGCAAATCTCTCATAAAAATGGTGCTAGATTAAAGCAAGGTTTATGCTGTGTTTTCTTCCAACACAGATTTCAACATATTCCATGATGAAGGGGAGCTAGAAGACTTCCTGCACAATTTGACTGATGGGAATTAATTATAGAAATATAATGATATTCAAAAATAATCATATTAGAAAGCACAAATGTAGTGAGACTGTACAAATGAGGCACAGCCTCTATCAAGTAATTGTATGTTTGCTCTTTAAGAATATTTCCAAGTTTCTAAACATCTTACAGAAGAGAACACTCAGAGTATTTCCATCTAATGCTGAACATGCTCAGTACAGAACTAGGTCATTGAACAATAGACTGAACAGCAATCAGCACTCTGCTGCTGCATAATGCATTAAGTATAACATGCAGAAACCATTCCCGGAGCTGGAAGCTGCTATTTCATGTCTGTAAATTCAAGCTGACATGACATTTAATATTGTTTCATAGTAATGAACAACAAGGTTTCATTCATTCATAACCATAACACAAAGCCAAGTTTGAGTCTGGAGAGTAGCAAGAAGTGGGGGTGTGGGGGAGACACATGCTGGGTTTCTGCAGACAAGAACACCATGTTAATGATAGCCAATGAGCCCTCTGCTACTGATTCAGAGAGCAGCAGGGCTCCAGTCACTGTGATGCCACAGACTCCTGCTCCTAGAAGAACTAGTGAAGGGGCAAAACAGTTTTGTGTTTCCCTCTTAACCAACTGGGATAGTTAACTTTCCTGGTTCATGGTTGGCTGGGAGTGAAATTCTTTCAGTTCCCAGGATCTCACAGTTAAAAAAACAAGTACTGATTCCATCATTTAGTTTACCTGCTTTGAAATATTTTTGAAATCCTGGTGCATAAAATTTTAGTTTGTATTTTCCCAGTGAAAGCAGTACAAGCTATGATCTCTAAATGGGAATAATTCTCTCCCACTGAACTTAGTTGTATTACTTTAATAGGAACTGCTCTTTCTGGCTTTTGCACTTTTGACTCAACTCTTTTGCATTCCTTTCAGATTTCTAGGTCCAGTCCAAAAGAGAGAAGTGCTGAGCAGCTCTGTCAGGTCTACTACAGGCTTCCTTTCCTTACAGGTCCTATGGTCTAAATGCTCTCAGTGCCACAATCAGGCTTTGGGAGAATCTTTCTGAAAGATTTTCACAGGCCAAGTGGGTCAAAAATGATGTTTACAAATCCACCTTTTGCCCATTAGAAACTGGAAGGAAAAAGTGGCTGCCTTGGAAGCTAGAATAAGCCTCTGATTATTCCTTCCTCTAGGAAAGAACACGCTTTGAGAATTTGGGGCCCCAGTTAACAGGAAAGTCAAGTGAAGATGGAAAGCTGGGCCCAGGTGTCATCGACCTTACTCGGCCAGAAGATGCAGAGGGTGAGTGGCTTTTACATGGCTGTTTCTGTAGCTGTGTGTTTCTGAAAGTGTGTCTGAGTTAGATGTAGGATCACTGGGGCCTTTCTTGGGGGTCACTAGCTAGATTTTCTAGGCAAAGCTAAGGAAATGTTGGTCTTCAGTATGTATTATAGTTGAGAACTTTGAGAAGTAGTAGATTATAAACACATAGTCATCCAGGTACTTCAGGGTACCACTTGAAAGTTTTAAAATAAAAGAACTCTACATTCCGATGAGCAACAGAATTCTGTGTTTGATTTACCTCAGTGCATTCTTGTTAAAGAAAAAAAAAAGAAATACAAGGAGGACTTTTTTTGTTTTTCACATTCCAAATCAAGGAATTCCTAGGTACAATATAACCATTTTTGGGGACTAACTGATGGTTTCCAGCAGGTCTTGCACAAACTTACTCGTTGTTCAGGAGAGGCCTAGCTTATGCCTGGCCACTATCACTGAAGTTCATTGAAAGTCTAGGTGGAAAGAGCTGCCTCACTTCAGAATGTTTACCCGCAGCCTTATCAAATTCTGTCTGCTTCTCTTTCTTTTCTGTTTGTTTGTCTTAAATGCACAAGCAGCACATCAGCAGAAATTGCTCCCCAGAGGCTGGGTACAATTTATGGGTTAGGTCAGCACTTCAGTAGTAATGTTGCCTGGTTATTTACTGTGTCATCACAGAGTAAGGACTGGTTTTCCTGTTAGCTGTTTCTTTGGCAGAATCTGTCCCACCAGTCAGGGAAGATTAATTTGTTCTCTTCAGAGTAATGTGATACTTTACCCATCTTGAGTCCTGCTAAAGTCCTTTTTTTAGCTTGAGAGGAAGAATCTTACTAGTATCCCTGTTACTAGGATTTCTTCCAGGACCCTAATCCCTTGAAAACACATGAAGACATTTTATAGCTGTATTAGAACTGGTTTTTCCCAGGTAGTTCAGAATCTGTGGCGTGAGCACTAGGAAATAGTAGTATCAGAAATTAGGAAGCACCTCTGAGAGTTTCCAGAAGGCTGGTTTTTTATAGCAGAAGGACAGTCTAATGTTTGATGATAGTCCTGGGGACAAGGTGTTAAAATAAATTCTGATGGGTTTGTATGTGTGTGTGTGTGAGAGAGAGAGAGAGAGAGACAGACAGACAGACAGACACAGAGATAGAGACAGATAGAAAGAGGGAAACAAAAAGGAAAGAATGGGAAAATGGAGGAAGAGAAGAAGAAGGGGATAAATAGAAAGAGAGGGATACAGGACTCAAAACCAGAACCATTCTTGCTGTCTTCCTTGAAGAATAGGCACCAAGAACATATTGACATTTTCTCGGGTGCTTAGAAGTACAGGTTTTCCAGCAGTGAGGGTTGAGATCTTTCTTTCCAGGGACCCTGAAAGTCCAAATAATGGGTCTTGCACAGTCAGCCATCTATCTGCAGCACAGACAGATAGCAGGCCTGAAAGTCTGTGAGGAGGTGTTTTAAGTCTGGCCCATCTCAATTTTGTTGCAAGATTGTATGTGGAGTACCTGAGCCAAATAGAATGAAATAAAGTTTTTCATCATTGTGGACTATTCAGTCTACATTTTTGGCTATAAGGTAGGAATTTTAGAGCTCTATCACCTTACCTTTACTCTAAGAGACTTTTCTTACTCTGTCACTTGACCATTTTCATTTTGTTTCTTAACTGCATATTAGTTATAATCAATTGCCTCTCAGTAATGCTGATAATAAAGTTGACAATATCATGTGCTTGATATGTTAATAGTCTTAGAAGTACTATTTTGAAAGGAAGAAGTTTAGAATTTTACTGTAGGGAAACATTTTATAGAAATATTTTTGGATAGTCCATTCAATACTCAGATTACTCAAGTTATCTAGGTCCAAACCTATGAATACGCAGATTATCCAGATTGTTAGATCTAAATCTATTTTCCTAGTTATGCTTTTTAAGCAAATATTTATCAGGTTCTCATAGGCAACAGAATGTATTGTGGTTTTTTTTGGTACTGGGGATTGAACTCTGGACCTTGTCCTTGAAAGGCAGGTGGCAGAACCACTGAGCTAAATCCCCAGCCCCAGAATGTATTGTTTTAAACACATATTTTCTCATTTAATCTCTGTAAAGCCCTGAAAAAGTATTTTATAGTTGAGAAAATTTTATAGAGCAATTAAATAACTTGCTAAAAGCCATATAGCTAGTAAGAATAGAGATGAGATTTGATACCAGGCTCAATTTTCAGCCTGCACCCCTGTACACATACTGAATACATGGTGTCTTCACTTACTTTTCTGAGCAAACTCCTTGTGACCCTCCTCAGTGTGGCCCATTTCCTCTCCCTAAATATAGCAGGTCATACCATGCAGCAGCTCTCAGATTACTGGATCACACATACCAGCAGTGCCTGCTGAGTATAACAGGAGAAGGGCTGTAGTGGCCCAGGAGCTTAAGGAGTGTGTGAAAACCTTCCTTCAGAAGCTTGCCCAGAGTTGCCATTGAGACTTCATGTGCTTTTGGGGACTGAGTTCATGAATGGAGTCAAGTTACCTGGTCTAATACCTACTGCAGCACACTGCTTTTGTGAGGACTGCCGGGATGGGGAGTAGCCTTCTGCTGACTTCAGCCTATTTCCTGGCATTTGTTCAAGTGTGAGCTGATTGCAAAGCCTGCTGGAGTTACAGTTCATATTAAAAGCAGAGTAGATAACAAATGCACATAATACTTTCTCTACTTTATTCCTTTGTATTTCCTTTAGCAGGAAAACTATCAAGGGACCAAACAATCAGAATAACAAAAAAATGTATTTGCTCCTTCACTAAGTCTGTGGTCCAGCAAAACCACCAACATTTCCTGCATGCCTACCCTGAGCCACCCCCTGAACCAGACCCTGGACAAAGCATGGGCAACAAATCAGAGATGTCCTTGACCTCTAGGAGCTTGTGGTCTGGTGAGGGAAGCTGGTAGATTAAAAGGGAAATATGTCCATCCATACATACATGACTATCATTGAGAAGAAGTACAGGGAAGAGCAGTACTTTATTATAATATACAGAGTTCAGTGTGAGTGCTCCTTAAGGAAGCTAAGTTGACAGGTGGGTTCTGTGCCTCTAACACAGGAGGTGCTCTCCTTCCATCCATTTGTGATCATCTCCAAGGGTCCCTGGCTTTGGAACAGTGATTTTTAGTAACTGTGCCCTACCAGCATTTCTGTCCCACCCTCCTGTGGGGCTTCTGAAATGAATAAAGTCAGCCCAGGAGATGAGCCTTGCTTCTGCCAGGCTTCCCAGGAAAATGTCTGCTGGTGCCCGGTGTGAAAACGACAGTATGACTTAGTAAGCAACTTACAGACCTGCTTCATAGCCCAGGCAAGGAAGCAGCAAAAAAAAGGTCACCGAAAGAGGCAGCTGTGGATGTGTATTAACCACTCATCGAAATCAAATGACAAAACCATAAGCAAGGAAAACAGAAATTAAAAATATAAAAGGCAAATGCCTTCAAAATTTTATTTTTAAAGTCCAGCTGTTATTTGGCTTGAATGTGACAAGACAGCATTTCTTGTTCACCATGATATTTATAAAACTACAAATTCATTGGTGCTTGAAACTTAGGAAACATGTTTAAGGTCTTGTTATTCTTTGAAGTGATTAAAGACTTAACATGTATTGAGTACACACAATTTGTTAGCTTCCATATAAGCCATGTAAGGAAGAGAGGACTTAATTGGTTGAGTCTGTCACCATGTATTAATAATGATGAACAACTGTTGAACTTTTATGGATTTTCTATATGGCATTTCCCCTCTCCTTGTTCTGCTTAGGGAAGTGTGCAATTCTTACCCCAGTTCTCCTAACTTCAAGGTTGCATAGTATCTTAAAGAGGGCTCTGGCCAGGTTATTGGAAGATTGAGATTAAAGTTCTTCTTGTAAATAACTAGAAAGAAGTGACTAATGGCTGTGGACGTAAATTTATCTTTTAAAAGAGATATGTTGGATTTGATTATCTCTAAGGTTTCTTCCAAATCCAAGATTGTTTTAGGGTCTTCATAAAACATTGAGTGTATTTCTTATAAGAATAAGTTCCATTTAGTTAGGGGTTTTTTGATATTAAAAAATGGAGCAATATCTTAGAAGATATATTTGTACTACTTGCTGAATTGAGTATTCATGTTCATTGAGCTTTCTTGTTTATTAATGAAAACATCTCTCCAGCAGTATTTCCCAATTATCACTCACAGACAGGTCCCTACTATTCTCCTTGCTCTCCTTCTCTTCTCCAGCAACAGCAGTTGTGACTCAGCATTTTAAAATATATTATTTCCATCTTGTTTTTTCCCCCATCTGTCTTTTACACTGGGGTTTTCCCTCTTAATTAAACATAGGGTTTCATACTGTTTTACAATATGGCTCGGGTAAGAAAACATTCTTCTAAAACTTTTTAAAATTTTCATTTTCAATTACTGCATTCTAGCCTCACAGGGAGGCTGCACCTTATTTTGATGTGAGGGACAGTGAAATATGAGCTTATCATTGAAGGATGAACTCAGAAAGTGATTATTTTTGGCAGAGCTTTGGCGCCCCTGGTTTGGAACTGGAGCAATGTTACCATACTCCATGATTTGTAAGGAAATGGATATGTGCACCAAGGATACTCCTGTTTAGGACTATTGTTATAAGGTTTGTTTAGAAAGACTTTATGGACTTATACTGAATTTCTAAGTTGGATACCAGCTGGGGCTTACCCTTCTGAAATAATCTTCCTCTTCCTTCTCCTCTGAATTCTTTTCCTCTTCTTCTCCTTTTCCTTCCCCTTCTTCTCCCTGCTCCTCCTTCCCTTCCTCTTATTCCTCCTCCTCCCTTTCCTCCTCTTCCTCCTTTTTGTGAACCTCTAATTCCTGTTTAAGTTTTATATCTCAGAGTAGCTTTATTGTTGTCAGTTTAGGCTCTCTGCTTATGGACAAATAACAGAGACTGCAATGTTTTTTTTTCTTCAAAATGCACCACTTAAT